CACAAGTGCAGCGACATCTACGTGAAGGCAAAGAAGTTGAAATACATGACACCTTGCTAGAACATCGAACCAGCGGTGAACCAGAAAGATACAGGACCCACGGCACAAGGCAGTAAACAGTGTGGGGAGGTCTCTAAATCGATGACAAACAGGAGTTCAAGAAATCTAATGGACAGCTTTGACAGGCATTGCACAAGACAGCTGTTTATGGCCAAATCTTGGAGATCTTCAAGAACATCAGATCGAGAAAGATCAACGTTATAGCGCTGATTCATTGCCAATCAGGTCAAAGGAGAAGTCTGTCAATTCAGTGGTTTAATAGACAAAGCTTAGAGACGCAGTCACAAAAAATAACCACAGTTCGTCATCAGGGCGACAAATGAATTGGCAGTTATAACCTGGTGATTACAATATAATTGTGATAGCCTGAAATTTCAGCTTTTGAATAAAGTCTCGCAAGATTCAAAATCTTTTTCGTTCCTGTAATCACTGAATTCGAAGACTTCTTCTGAAAAATATACCCTAAAATAGGATTGATGAGGCATAATAAAGGAAAATATGTGAGAATGTGAAAAGGATGGAAATAAACGGAAGCCGGAAACTCTGCTCAATAAAAATAGCTGGACAGACATTCAGTGCGTTAACATAAGAGATTTCACCATCGTAATTCTGAAGTTCCATAGAATAGTTTGACTGTAGCCAAAATTTAGCATGAATGTAATGAAAGTTTGTTCGGTTAAAAAATGGAACGATCGATGTAGTACCTGAATCTCAGAGATACTGTAGATACTGTACTGATAAAAATACCTGAATATTCTCCACCACTTATAGACTTTGTCAATTTAAACTACTAAGGCAGCCAATTTGTAGTCAGTTAGCTGACTGTATCTGAGATAGAAGATGAATGACACAATGACTGAGCTTTGTAGCAGCTTTCCCAGCAGTGGCGCTTAATTTGAGAAACGTGACTGAACCACCGTAGGTGGTCAATAAGTGGATCATGGAAACACAGGTTAAGGCGTTAATGAAAGAAATTACAGCAATAAAAAACATTACAACGACGCCTTTCAGATAAAACTGATTAAGCAGGAGGAAACTAAATTCATACTGTAGCTTTAAACAAATCGGCATTTTGGCATTCATTTGTGAGACCAGAGCAAAAGCATTCAAGGCAGCCATGAGGATTGCTTTCGGTGAGTTGAAAAGTGCCCTCCACACACCGGTCGCAGAATTCTCCTTGAACGTATTGCTGAAAGTATGCACGTGCACAACAAGGAGTGAAGGCGTTCAAAGACCGCAACCAAACCTTGCAGACGCATTTTTTGTCTGAGGACTGGTACAGAGTACCGGCTCGATTGCATTGCTGTTGGCAGTCCACTTTGAGGACGGCGTCCGGAGTGACCAATAGCCTGCCTTTGCTGTTCAGCGCTTCACAAGTGTACACACCTTGGTCAAACGTGCTGCAATACGGAAGCAATGCGTAATGCAATACGAATGTCCGTCACGACGTACTTGGCGTTGCTAATGACCAGTATTCCATGGCCGTGTTCAGATGTTTGAGTACAGCGTGGGGGTCCACATGTCTTACCCCAGTTCAGTCTCCAGTTGATATATGGGGTCGGTACTCCGACCGCACGACACTCCAAAACAGCTCTTTCCCCGCAGCCTATCCGCAAAAATTGAATTGGCGGCTGGACAGCGACAGGTGGGGCTAAAGAGGTGAAAAAAATATCATGAAGCGAATTCTCGAACAGAAAGTCATAAAATCAATGTTATTTATTTGTACCCGTTTATCATACGTATCTGGAGCATTAATTGCGATCGTTTTAAAAAATTTTTTTACGCAAGTAAAACGGATTGATTCGTCTCTATCGAAAGAACATACCGCATCCGATTTCATCTGATTCATCTGGACAGTCATTCTGCCCATCGCACTGGAATCCTGCAGATATGCATTCCTTCGTAGATACACATTGAAATTCATATGCAGCACAGCCTGTGCCCACAGGACGCGATTCTAAATCGAAAATGTATGAACAGGGAATCTCTAAAAAGCATGCCATTGTCTCCCCAAAAAAACTCTCTGAGATCTAGAAGTTGATAAACAACGCGATTAACTGAGCTCAGATGTTCGCAGCTTGATCCTGCACAGGATGTTCTGTATATTGCGATATCTTTGCTGCTTTTTACAGATTCAACGTGATACTTCGACATGAATTCTTTAATCACGGCTGTTAGAGCATTCTGTAGAATATTTTTGATGAAGGCAATTTCTGCTATTCAATCTTTAATTTGCTGAAATATTTGATCCTTTGCTAATTCACTTGAGGAATAAAAGAATCATTCATTCATTCCTCATTTTCGATCCATAGTCTGCGGTATAAAACAATATCTCTGAGGATAAAAGATAAAGCGAAAATCTTGACGAGGTGTAGTGTATGAAAGAGCTTCAAAAGCAATTTATATGATGCTTTTCTGTTTTGATACTGGATTGAAGCGGCGTAAGCACCGTCCTTGCTTCTAGTCGCATAGGGGACCATTTAAGCAGGTCACTGTTCCACGGTACTTGAGCACCTGCGGTTCATGGATACAAAACCGCATCTTTAGGCAGGGCCGAACAAAGGCCTTGCAGGTGCGCAAATACTATGGGTCCTTGGGACCTGTTTGAACGGTTCTCTAGGCGACTAGAAGCAAAGGGACGGTGATGACGCCGCTTCAATGCGGTATCAAAAGAGAAAATGCCTCTTACCTTAGCGGCGGTATAGATAAATAGCAGTATTCTAGTAAACCCATAAGATTATGTGTATTTTTATGTAGCAATTTGTATGATAGTGATTTATTTCATTCGTTGATTCATTAACTTCTTTACTGATTCATTCGTTCATTGTTTGTTTATTGACTCCTTCATTTATTCAGAATCAAGCATTATTTAGTAGACGGTGTTCAGGCAAGCATAATCGTTATTCCGCAATTCATGGTAGAGTTAGTATGAAGAATGAACTAATTCGAAAGCCAGTGGGAAAGTGAACAGTCTGTTAAGTGAAATATTTAACCGACGGAAACGAAATATTTACCGACAAAATTGTAAAGGTGCCATTCAGAATATTGGGTAATTGATCATAAGTTTTCTATATATTACCGCTGCTAATGGCAAAGGAACATATTCTTGTTCAGCCGAACTCAGAGATTAGGCCTTGTACCTGACGAATTGTAGGCATTTACATGTTGGCCTGCATAATTTGTCCCCTAGGCAACTAGAAACGTCACTTTTTCGTATCTGGTGTAGACATTTAATGTTTATACGGCTAAGCGTAAACTATAATAAATAAAATTTGAACCGAAAGTAGCAAATCTAATAAAACCTAAATCTTATAGCCAGCATTTAAATCGAAATCTGAATCAGCTCGTTTAACTGGTCTTACAGTCTTTAATGCTAAAGTTTTAAAAGATATGCAAAACAGTTGCCCGTCAACCCTCGCCAAACTTAGAAAATGTTTCAAACCAGACTGATTTCCGTATGGCAGTTTTGTCACAGAGTAAGAGTAGCTTACCAGGTATGTGATATACTAGTTTAAAAGTTATTGGTCAGCCAAATTCAGTTAATTCACAATTTGATTTTCCTTCTCTGTTATCGAACCCTCAACAAATGATTCCTCCAAGACAGTCAGGCGTATTTTATCGTCCTCATGTAACTCGTAAGTCTTGTCAGTCATTTAGGCAGGTAGCGGCTCCATGGTATTGACACCAAAGTGCCGTATGTACTTGGCACCATTTCTTATGCTACAGCGACCTAGTACTCATCACGAACCATGCCTGAAGAGCTATTCATGGAGGAATCAGTCGTTGTTTGACGACTGGTTTATGCTGCTTATGTGGTAGTATATAACGAGTACCAGTTCCTGAAACGTTGTTCGTCATTGGCTAAATATGAGTCTAGAACAGAAAATGATGTGAGATGAATCTGTCACTGCAGGTGTTGAAATAATTTGGACCCACTGCCCCTTAAAATGTCCCCCAGACAATCAGGAGCAAAGGGGGGTGGGCGGTGTAATAAACCGTGAAATATGGTTTGGAATACTTATTCATTGTTTGAATAATATATTTCTCCAACGTATTAACAACTGATGATGTTTACAAATCGCTTGTCAAACTTTTCCAGACAGACTGATTTAAACAAAACAAAAAACGAACAGCTTCATACCGCAGTTCCGTTCATCACTGCCGTCCTCGCAATCGTCCTGACCGTCGCAAAGCCAAGATTTTTCGATGCAGTTGTTGTTGTCGCAATGGAACTCGCTCGCCTCGCAGCTGTCCGCTGAAGAGTTTGACAGAGCAGATATTCGAAAGCATATTTAAACCTTCGGACCCTTACCGATCCCACAATCCTGTTCATCGGAACCGTCCAAGCAGTGCTTCGTTCCATCGCATACGTACTCCCTCAAGATGCACTCCCCGCTGCGGCATTTAGCCTCGCCCCATCTGCAGTCCCCTTCTGAACACCAGAAGAAGATTTATTTTACCGAACAACGTTCCATTCCTTTCCTCACAAATTACTTACCGCTCTCCCGTTTGACAAGTCTTTTCACGACTTCGTAGTAGGTACGATTGCGCCGTGAAGCTGAAAGGATAACGGTATGAATAAAAACTGCGAATCGACAAATCAGACTTTATGACCACATAAATAGTGACACTGAAAACCGAGCAGCTGCGAAAGTGTGAAAACATTAGTGAAATAATTACTCTGCGTTTACCACTGGAATGTTCGTCTAGCACAGAAGTCTTTCTTCATAATCGTCATTGCTGGCTTGAGCACAGGGCACACTTTTATGCCTGAACAAGCTGCGTTTAATACCTGAAATCGCAGCAAATTTTGTATGATTGCTGCTGATGCTTCGATGCACCTGTAAAGCTGGCTTAAGCATTTTCCTTACATCTTTTCACTGGCTTCATGCAAACGTACACAAATCGTATTTTATTTATTACTCTGAACTGTTAGGTTTTAAACAGAGGTGAAACAGCTTTTAGAAGGAGACAGTATGCTAGTCATTTGAATGCTATGCGATAGCAGGCATCCAAAGATTCACCATAATCGAATGTTTCACATTTGCTGTTGTTGTTGCTGTTTTATCATCGTCATCTGAGACAGACAGAGTTTCAATGGAAAAAAACTCATTTTTATTGGATCTAACCTTTCAAAGTGTCGTGCACCGTGTTCAATCATACAGCATAACAATATTATGCATACCAGACTTAAAAACAGAAGGAAATTTGAATAGAAGCATTCTCTGAAATCAGTGGTTCAATCTGATTATTCGACTGATAGAATTGTAACCTACGTAGCGCTCAAAGGCCAGGGTTGCTCAGTCGGTGAAAATCGGAATCAGGCCTAAAAGAAATTCGAGCCCCGGTCAGGTCACTGGTCTTTTTTACTTCTGAAGGAAAAAGGAGACTGTACCCTTTGCCACATAGAGGTAGATTCCGTATCTAAAAAATAAATCATTTTCCTAGCTAATGACATGGAAATGAAGATCAGCGCCACACCGTGAGCTTCATGAAACCAAGCGTTCCATAAATGGCCCTGAAGCATGAAAATGTAAGGGAGACCGGCGTCCTAGTGATCACAGATTTTCCTTTCTTTTTTCTTGACAAATTTTCCCTTCCATGGCTTAGGGTATTAGCATTTTCTCTACCTAGCAACGAAAAGCTCAGTCAAACTCTACGAAAAAACCCATTTATTCATATAAGCAAGATATAACTGTCACCGGAAGATCAGAAATACTCTAAATGAATGATAGCCAAGTAGCAAAGCGAGTAATAAACGTGAAGTCTAATAACTGGCGGCCTCCAGGAAGACCTCAAACAAGATGGAAAGGTCTCGATACAATTACAATCGCACCGAAGGGACTGATATGTGAGCATTTATTTATTAGATCCAAGTGGAATAATTGTCCCCTGTTCGATACAATGTGATAATAAGAACGATGATAATTATAATTTTCTCCACAGCTCAGCATGAACACGACCTTGCTATGGGCAGAGAGCATGAATGCATTGGCAAACTAACGAAATAAATCCACTAGGGTCTGGAGAATAGCAAAGCATTTGAAACGGTTCACACGAAGGTCCTTAAGGCGTCGAATGAACTCAAACCAAAGGCGTCGAAGCATTTTCAGTCGCTGTTCCATATTCATCTCAGAAGAAAGTGCCTTGGCAACTGTCCCTGCCAGCGGCTGATGAGACTATTAGCGACACACACTCAAAAAGTTGTACCACGCTTGAGAGCTGATGACTGACAAGGGGAAGAAAATTATATACATTTACATTTCGATGAACAAGGTCTGGAAACCAGGTATATGAAAACTTTCGAAACACATTATATGCACATATGCGTAACATATCAATGTATAGAAATTACCTAATAAATTTAGTCCAGTTCACTGACGACTAATGAATGGCCCAGATCACTGAGTGACCTTGAAGCAGCATGAAACATCGGCAAGTCAGAAGTGACAGTAATTTACCATTATTAGATATCTTCCCCAACGGGGCAGCCTGAGGACACGTTTCTGGCAGAGGCAGAATTATCATTCCACGTACCCATGACGACGGCGAACTGAATACGTAGGCATTTCGTGCAACTGAATTCGTTGACTGCTGTCACTATTATTCGGTACTGATACAGATGTTTTTAGCATTATGAGTATGCCATAATTCTGTACAGTCTTTGATCTCTTCTATCGTATTACTGTAAAGTAATGTTCGTTTTTGGCACTCATCTCATATACTTAGTTGAGTCACTAATGAACTCATTCGGCTGTGGCTCTTTCGTTATTAAAGTAAACTTTTTGTTCTTTGCTACAACGAATTACTGCGATCAGCTACAGTCAATTGCTCTGAACATCGTCCCCCAGAGGACCTTCGATTGAAGTGTTGCTCATCATGAGTAGTCGCAGTGCGTTTCATTAATAACTCATGGTCGAAACGTTTCAGAATAAGCAGAAGCGACATCGTCGTTTCTGAAACAATCTAACGTACTTTCGCTAAAACAAATCATCTTGCTTGAGAGACAAGCCAAGCTTTCGGGAGATCAACTTTTTCTGTTGATTGAACTTGAATGCCATCAAGTTCGAAGCACGCAGCAGATTCGATGAGAAAAAAATATACAGATTGACAGCTTCAGAAATCGTTAGTGATCAGTTTACATTCAGGCACACAGCGCGTTCACGTTTTCAAGCACAACTCGTTTCAGAAAACAGAGTCTAGCAACAAACGCTGAGAAAATGAGGGGTATTGTTTTATGGGAAAACATCCATGGAGGTTCTTGTGTGTCAGTCGTAGTTCGAATGGAAAAAAGTCAACATCAACAAGGGTCATGCTAAGGACAGCAGTTTACTACTAGCCAGTTTTTGTTTTTTTGCAGTCCCTGGTGTAAATTGTGTTGGGAGTTATCATAGAAGTGTATGAAGAAGATAAACCAAATATGATATGAAGTTTCTATTCTTATTCCGTTATTGGAACTATCGTCAATTTGTTGACTGATGGTTGACGGCACCAAGCAAAGTTGATGTTTACGTTTTGTTTTTTAAACTGAGAGTAATACCCAGTGGATGTCTTGAAATTAATATGTTTTCCTACCAGCGTTCACTATGGGGGAATCTGGTTGATTACTGATGTCAGTTCGGTCGATACTTACGAATTATTGTAGATCAAGAGTTTCTTGCCTTTCATAACGCTAACCATAGAATCAGAAGACTTACAAGTGTCATGTTAACACTTTATTGCCAACACCGTAATATCTTAATGGCCCAAATGATGATAAACCTGACAAACCGCCTTGTCAATGCAGAACATTCAATCAGTTCCGATGACGACTGGGTCTTTCAAGTCATGGAGGCAGACGCGTCAGGCGGCAACTCCAACACTCCCACACCGTGCCAGCGTCTTAGCTTTGGCGGAAGAAAAGTAGTGTCTGGAAGTGAGTCCATCGAAGTACTTGATGGAGGTGATTTTTGGCTATTAACTGAGTCTTTGGCCAGTTGGTTGAGTGAGGAGCAGCTGTTTCGAGTACCTTCCAGAAAGCATTCGCATGGCGT